GATATTTTACAATGATCGCAGCACGCACAAGGAGTACGCACAGGGTGAAGCCAAGAATTACCCCGTAGTAGATAAAGACGGATAATTGGTCTGGGAGAAGACACAAGTGGTTCTGGACCGTGCGACCGGCATTAGCGGACCCATCGGGTTCACCAGTGGCCAGATCCAGAGGATTCCACAAGCTGGTGAGTACAAAGCCCGGTTGACGGATTCCCATGGCCCATGAGAGGCTCTTGACTGTAATCTCCTTAGGAGACCCGCTGAACTCGTGATGTGAGATCTCGCAGTAATCGTGGTCATCCCCGGAATACATCTGGACCAAATTAGGCCCGACCTTTGAGACGATATCCCGAGAAATGGCTGGGGTCAAAACATTTTGATATTGATAGCCCCGACCCATCGGAATAGCGTTCCGGTCATCCTCCTCCAAACCCTCGCCACTGGGCGGATAGTGTTCGCGATAGGGCCCGCACGGCGTGGCCGGTCGGCGATATAAAGGTACGTGAGAAAGAAGGATAGTGGGAAACCCCGCAACCTCCGGCTTGAGCTGCGGGTCGACGGACGGTTCCAAGATATCAACAGCCCGATGCTGAAACTGACGGCCCTCAGTCTTATTGGCGAGCATGCGCAATGCCTCAACTTCCGCCCTGCCCCGATGTACGTTCATGCGGTCGAGGAAATCCTGGGTATCTCTCCAAATGTGTTCGTTTGGCTGTTCTCCATCGCCCGAGCCCGTGCCCGAGCTGCCTGTCTCCGGGTCTGGCTGGTCCATGGCGCTCAGCGACACGGTGTCAACAGAGATAAAAGTATGGTTTCCAATGACATCAACGCGATTGCTTTTGCCAAAGAAGCTCTGAAACCTATCGCGCACCGGGATCTGGACACCCGAACCAAAACCCAGATCGTGATTTCCAGGCAAGCTAGTGATCAACCTCCGCCCAAGCGGGTGACGTATGTGATCATCACCATCTTTCCATGTATCCACAAATATTTTCACGAATCGATGGAACTCTTTCTTCCAAAAGCGGTCCTTGTATTTCTTGTAGCGTTTCTCCGGGCTGGAACTGGATGCCGTAGCCCATTCCCTGCCCCCGTCGAAAAGGTCACCCAGGAACAACACGGAATCTGGGCCTAGTTCTTTCTGAATGGACGAGAAGGATCTCCGAAGGTATTGATCGGTAAATTTGACGGTCAACGTCGAAAGGGGCCATGGTCGGCCGGGATATGTATGAGGATCGACTAATTGCGGGTCGGCGATGAAAGCGACATGATGTGGGATTGCGTCTTGAGGCTGTATCGAGCAAATATGACGAGTTAGCGGAAGAAAGAAAGGGACAAATTCCAACGTCGACCACCTACCCATCTCTCCCAATTACCCCAGGTGCATGCTTTCACGCTGTCCTGAAAGACAGTCCGTTCGCCCCACCATAATGTACAGATCCATAAAACAACCAAAGCGTTCGAGATGGTGAAGACATATCTAGCGACCTGCTTGAATAGCGACAATATCCCATGTCTAGTACTTGTCGCCTCACGTAGATCCGAAGCCCACCGTTTCGGCCATGGCGGCGGTGATTGATCCCGCTCCGACGAACCCGAGGACCACGCGGGCGACCCTGGTCGAGCAGGACGATAAGAGTCGGCAATGGCGTTGTGCGAGTATGAATAGCTCATCTTCGTTGTTTCAGCCTATGGATGGTCGAGCGCAGCTCTGCTGCATTGCGGTACCGAGGCTGACACACGAGAGGTGGGCAGCTAGCAGTTGACCGAACCGGAGGTCATGCTTTGGGGAGTATCAACAATTGCAAGAGACACAATAAACGAGCGACAGGTCAGCTAAAGATTAGATATAAGAATGAGGGAATGAGAGTCAGTGCATGACGATGTGGGAATGGATGGTCCAAGGGGGATCGCCGCCGATTGACGGATGGAGACACGTCACGTGCGCCGCGGCTGGGCGCGACGCTTTTGAGACATTTATTCTCGATTTGGCCCCAGGCCTCAATATTCAGGGTCTGAGAAACACTTGGCAGCAAAAACTCCGCCACCACACTCCACTCAGGTCCATAATTCAGGGGAAATACTACTTGGAAGCGAAGACGACGGATTCAGATCACATGCAATGTCATTGCTAAGAATACAAGAGAAGAATAAGAAAAAGTGTAAAGAATGCAATTACGCTTGTCAGTGACAAGTCTCATCACATGCAGCCATCTAGGAAGTCCACCCAACATGCACCAAGTTGACCTGAGATGCAATATCAACAACGGCCAGTCCAAACACATAGGTTCCAGTCATACAAATAATGGGGTATGTTGAACAGAAAGGAAAATTAATATGGTGGGGTTGTAAGGAAGGTGTAAGAAAAAAAGATCATAGGACAGGGAGAATTTTTATCGCATCACCTCACGGTGATTGCTTGGGGCAACACTGGCCACCCCGGGCACACTCCTCACCACATTCCAGGAGGCACGCCTGCGAGTCACCGTCAGGTACACTGGGTGTTCGACTGGGAAGAGTCCCCGAGGCGGAGGCTCCGTTGCTACCGGCACGGTAGTCCGAGGGGGCCATGATCGTATCCTCAGCGTCACTATCGGGCGCAAATTCAGGCTGGATCGTCGAAGAATGGATCCCATAAGCGTGCAAGCACTTCCTCACTTGCCTGGCCAGACGCATATAGCGCTCTGAGCCTTCACCCTTGATCTCCGTGTCCACCTGGATGTGAATAGACGCGACTAGCTTGGTGTCGCTCAGCTGCCATACGTGCAGGTGGTGGGAACCGATGACGCCCGGAAGTCCTTCGATGTCCTCCTTGATATGGTCGATGCTGAGGCCGTGGGGCGCTGCCTGCAAGAGAATACGCGATGCAGCCTTGCATAGGGGAATGGCGGAAAGCAGAATAATCACAGTGATAACAAGCGAAATCCCAGGATCCACGTAGAATCGCCAAGAATAATCGGTCAGCCAGATGATGAGCGCAGAAGCGATGACACCGATGTTACCCAGTGCATCGCCCATCACATGAAGGAAGACGCCCCGCATGTTGAGGTCATGGCCATGACCATGGCCATGCTTTTCGTCTTTGGGCTTTGGTTGAGCATGATTGTGGAATTTGTGGAGATCATCATCGGCAGCAGCAGTCCGGGACCGAGCAAGTGACTCCGTCTCATCGGTATATTTACCAGTGCGACCGCCGTGACTAAGGAGGGCTGAGCGCTCGGATGGCTGGCCGTCGGCGCCCTCTTGAAGATCGCTGTCCGAGCCGGACTGTTCGTCATCATAACGGTTCTTACTGGCTGCGATAATCTCCTGTCTCATACTAGCGGGGTGAATCTGGATGTCTTCCACGTCAACATATCCACTGTAGCGACTGTCGACTGTCCGGCGGCGACGCGAATAGGGAGAGTGTGGCTCGGCACCACCAGTCTGCTTGATCCACTTGTGTCAGCTACATAGACCTGGTAGAGATGAGTCCACTAACGTTGTTCTGGCCATCTGCGTGCACGTGGTCATGATCGTGGTCATGGCCCGCAGCATGTACATGGTCATCGGCGCCTTCTTCCAGATCTCCAGGGCCATGACTGTGGCCGTGCCCGTGGGAGTGATCATGGAATAGAACAAGACCAATTATGTTCGACAGCAAGCCGAGGCATCCAACGATGCAAACGAACTTCGGGTTCTTCACTTCCTGAGGCTCGACTAGTCGTTGTATAGCTTCCAGGAAAATCGATAGACACAGAGCGACCAGGAAGACACCATTAACTAGAGCACCCAGAGTTTCTGCGCGTTGCCACTAAAGAACCAACCGTCAGGATGAGAGGTGGACCTGTAGAATCGAGACAAGCTTACCCCGTAGGTGTACATTTTTGAGTTGGTTTCGCGGTTGGCGACCTTGACAGCCCAGAGGCCCACACATAATGACAGTACATCATTCAGCTGTGCCAATACTGGTCAGAATCATGCTATCCCTAGGGTATTTCGGTAAGGCGGCGAGATAAGGCGTACCATGTGAAACGAGTCGGCAACCAGGGCAAGGGAGTGCACGGAATAACCTGCGCGAAGAATTATCGTTAAAAGACGCCTGGGAGCATATAATGGCATGGACACGGACCAGCAATCAATTCCAACAAGAAGAAAGCCGTATCAATCGCCAACAGGATCAAGATCCTGTTTGTCTTAGAGAGACCCATGATGGTTGAGGCCTTGCGCTCAGTGGCGCGAAAATGAAGGAGAAAAGGGACGGATGACGGCAGACTTCCAATCTAAGCGTGGTTGTAGTCGTTCATATGCCAAAGTCCGCCGAACAGTACACCAAGGATGACCTAGGAGGAACGCGATCAAGCGGGAGAAGAGAAGGAGGAGAGAAGAGGATAGGAAGGAAGACCAGGCGATAAATAAGTCATGGAGGAAATGAGGGAGAAAGAAAGAGTGACGCGGATTTCCTTGGAGCGACAAAAGTGGAGGGAAATGGCAGAGAGTCCGGCGGAAGGCCGACCGGAACGAAAGTGGCGTTAGTTGCTTAGTTGCTGCTCCGGCCTCAGGCGCCCATCTGGACTCGGCGGGGTTTAGCGGCCAGCCTTATCACTATTCCGTCTCCACTACTCCCTGCCTACTGCCTACTATTCTCGTCTCTTGTCTACTCTCATGCTGAGTTCCTACTCAAGAGACACATTCACCGTTGGATACGTCACCTTCAGATCTGCCTGGTCAGAACTGCAAGGAAATATCCTACTGTCACATTCAGAACCTGTCTTGTCTGCCACATGCACTACCCGAACTTGGTGCTTGCAGCTGCCGACATCATCGAGGTACAAAGGTACGTGGTACCCACTCCACAGTGGTTTCTCCACCCTCTCCTGAACTGCTGCTATACATAACCGGTACGCCGCTACGATCTCCCGTATCTCCTCAAAATGATCGTCCTGATTTTGTTAGGATGTGAATTTCTTTTTCTACGTTCTCGTATCAACTTGCTGCGCCAATTCATTCTCTGATGATCTATGCACAAGACGGCAAGCACAGCAGCGTCTTTGTTGTGTGTGCAACATCATGACTCGGAAGAAAGAAATTTTTGGCACTAAGCCCAAAGACTAATGCGGCGGCTAGTACGCCATGGGCGACCGTCAGTGCGCTAGCCTTGAACTATATTCTATTTTGGCGAGCAGCCGACCGACTAGACAAGGATTCATTTTGCGAAATGAAGTGGGTTTTAGGGTTTGTTTGAGATGCCTACAGAGTGCCCATTGGGTATGCTGACCACTCATGAAGTCCTGGGACAAATCTGGTATCTGGACGGCCTTTGGAAGGGCTGACTGCGATATGCATCTTGACGAATCAGCATGACGAGGGTCCAAGTAAGCCAAAAGTAACATTTCGGATAACGGAGCAGATCCAAATCGCTCAATGTCCCGGAGATTGTGGCCTGCGCACGATACATGACTGGATCCACTGTCGCCAATTTCACCAAAGAAGCTCCTTCGCTCTGAGGTTTGTTTCACACTTAGATCGGATACATTTCGGACTGTCTCAACCGAAGATCCCGGAATCACTCCCGATATTTCCGGCTTAGAGTGATAGGTACATTTTATTCCCTTCATTTGGTATTTAGTGGTATCTAGGTCAAGACCTGACGCACCAACCCTGTCAAGCGCATTTGACAGTGAACCGAGACCCGTATAGCGGAGCATTTCAATCCTGCAGGGTTCTAAGCGAAAGTCACTACTTTCCACAACGTATCAATTCTTTCAACCTGATTAGCTTTGACTGTTTGCTTGACAATGCCTGACTATGGCAACATGATCCATAGATCCTAGACCCACCTGGGGAATGGTGTTTTCTCGCCAACTGCCTGGAGCGATCGTTGTACACCAACCGGTCTAGCACTCCGTTGCAATATTATGCCAGCAAGACTTCAAAGAGCGTAAAATTTACCAGTAGAACCCATGAAACAGTGCTATATACAACGAACTACCACAATATGGGCTTCCAACGTCAACCTCTACGCCGTATACGCCGGCGGCGGCGACATCGCCCTCACCCCCTCTTCGTCCGAACTCTCCTCCTCCAACCAATACTTCACATCCTTGCTATCCAACTTCTTCTCATTAACAGGAATCTGCATCTTCTGCATATCAGCAATCAGCCAAACCCTCCAAACCAGAATGCAATATGACGAGAAGATGAGAAATAAAATACTTACCCCCTCACCCCCCTTCTTCAACACCACCACCTCCTCCCCCTCCCTAACCCTCCCCACCAACACCCCATCCTTCCAAACCCCATTCCTAACCACCATCCCCTCCAGATCCGTCTTCACCAGCACACAACACATCACTTCACAATTCACCAATTTGCACCGCTGCACCCGACACTCATCCGCAATCATGCACCTGGACACATTACTCCGCCAGAGAGAACTCCCACCCAGCAAACTAGCATCTTTCACCTTGCTGCGCTTGACAGAGGCGCGATCGCGGAGAACCGCGTTGGAAAGGGTGCTCCGGTGCGAGTAGCTGTAGGTGTCGAAGGAGGTATGCGTGGCTTCGGTGCGGGAGACAATGGCGTTAGTGAGGGTGGTGTGGTTTAGCTTGGAGCGGTAAGTGGTTGAGTGCTTGACGATACAGGATGTTAGGGCGGAGCGGAGGAGGCTGGTGGGGGTTTTGGCACTGCCGGAGCAGGTGATGGTTACGTCGCGGAGGTCGCTGCGGGTGATGGTGTCGGATGGGGTGAGCTCGTTGAAAGTGCTGTTGATGAAGGTGGAGCGGGTGATGGTGGGGAGGGTGGATGTTGATATTGAGGTCATTGTTGTGGGTTGGATAGGTTAGGTTGATGTTCATTCATACAAAGTATCTAGTAGAAGGAGGGAGGGGAGGAAGATAAGGCTAGATTGATAAAGCAAGGGAGCGAATATGCTGCTGCCTATTGGGACTCTGATAGCATATAAGATGCTTAGCTATTGTCTATATGATGATGATGGATGTCTGGAAAAGGTTACGGTTACATGGATCCTGATTACTTAGTTTAGGCCGCGAGATTTCTACATCTGACTAAGAACTTCCAAGGCACGCAGATACCCTACGCAGGGCTGAGCCGCAGGGGGCCGTGAGCTGGAGATCACATGTTCCGCCCGGGTTTCATGAAGTGATGGCTTGTTCCAACGGAGAGGCCAGGATTGGTCATCAAGCCATAGGATGTGTTTAAGGGAGACCCTCATAACCTATCAACTACCTTTGAGTCGTGTCAATGGATCGCGATTTTTCCATCGTTCTTGTTACCCCGTTGTTAGAAGGATCGAAGATATAGCAGGAAAACTATGAATATCTTCAGTGGTGGAAAAAAAACCCATCGAGGCTGAAATGACGGATCATATAGCATGTAATCATGTTCACAGTATCGAGGTGTCATTCGTGGTGATATTGATAAGCCAAAGAACCATGCTATCACGGCTATTATCACAAATTTTGATGATATGGATAAGACTTCACAAAGGGTTGAGTTCACAACCCTGAAGAGTTGGAAGCCTGAAATAAAAGTAGTTTTTTGTGTCTAATATGATCTTGTACATGGCGTATATGCATACGTGAGTGAGACATGCCTGTCGGGGCTAGGCGGGCCTATCTTGTTTTCTTTCATTTCTCCCTGTGGCGCAAATGCTAGCATAGAAAATCTGGGCTGGATACGTTGTGGCGGATTCCTGGCATGTCAGTCTCAGTTATGAGTGGGCGCTTTCTCAGCACTGGTGGTTCTGAGGCTCCTAGGTGGATTAACCGCGGATTAGGATGTCTTTCACAAGATATAGATAATAGATGGCAGAGTACTTATATCTTGATATACTTGATCAAGCGTGCGTTGAATAAAGAACTGCGATGTCGAGGTGGGCACCCCAAAGGAACTGTACGCATCTTTGGGACGAAGAAGAACATGGCGCGGAACTCTCAGCTGTGCCACCGCAACGACTTGAGAGGGTGGCGGACGATGGAAATAATATGCCGCGGATTCTATTGGGTGGCATGGCAGTTTGTTGAGAAACCAAGAATGAGAGCAATGATACACCTGCGGAAGGATGTAAGGTTGTCCGCTTCCAAAGTCAAAATCTAGATCTTGGAAGCTGCTGGAACCGTAGGGGATGAGAATAGGTGTAAGAAGAATCCTTGGCCGCTTGCTCAGGGATTTTGGCATGGCTTGGCTCTGAAGTCGGTGTAGTTCGCCCGTAAAGCAGGGTGTGGTTATTCTATTCCGTGCATTCGCTGTCTTCAATCTCGATTGATAGACCGAACGCTGGCTGTCATGGACCCAACTCTACCAGAACAATGTGAATGATTACCCTCCACGCGAGTCATGTTGTACAAGAGCGACAGATAGCGACTTTTTTGTAGAGAAAGCAGTCCAGACCCATTTTTTCGAAGCAAGGGTACGGTGAGCACGATCAGTTGAACAGGCCCCTTGCTTCACCTTGTAGAGATGCGACAGTTCTTAAGGACCGATGCCAATTTCACAAGGTTAAAAGCTCGGGCTATTAAGCTGTCAAATATAGGGCTCGACAAAGTTTGTTAGGCTTTGAAAGCCCTATATCATGAAAATGACAGCGGAGTTGGATCGGAAAGGTACCATCGTGAGCCTCGAAAGCATCCAAGATGGCGAAATCGGCATTCTCGATTTGGACGGCGGTGTCACCCCTGAAATCAACGGGGATGGAATGCCGCGCCAGTTCAATTGGCTTTCAACTCTTGGAATTTCTTTCTCGATCACGAACTCCTGGGCAGGATACTTGGTAAGCATCTATGCCAGAGCGTCAGAGACATCTTCTGATGCGTCCATCGTATACAGAGCAACTTTGGCCAGATCCTGGCTTATGGCGGTCCTCGATTAGTGATATTTGGATCTATCTGCGCTTTTGTGGTTCAGATCATTGTAATTCTCGGGCTCAGTGAGCTGGCATCGGCCTTTCCGGTACGCTCTCTGCTGTCGCATCCTTGAGCTTTGTTTTGATCGCATGGCTCACAGGACTAGTCAAGCGGAGGTCAGTATTATTTTTGCTACATGCTCAGTCCAACCAAGTCGAAGAGATTCTCAGCGTTCGTGGTCGGATGTATGTCTGTCTTAGCATGGTGGATAGTGACGTGGGTTGCACCGCCCCAGATCTGTCGATCGACGAGGCCCTGATGATCATTGCAGATCTTCCGGTGTCCAGATGGTTACGGCCTCCCTTGCGGGTATAGTCAAATTTTGGCACACAGAATATACAGCCGCGCAGTGGCATATATACCTGGTATATATTGCTATATCTCTGCTCACATGTGAGAATCATCGTCCAAAATGGCAACTCAGAGTAGCTAATCCACTAGTGACACCGATATTCTTGGCTCCGAGTAAAGTCAACTGGACGGTTCAGACGGCCCTCTTTCTATCTCTTACGGGCATGGCCCTCATTATCACTATCTCACTTGGTATGTGCCAGGAAAAACAGCCAGTGTCATTCCTGCTGCAAAGAGGGTATGGAACATCTGGCTGGAACGAAGGTACTGCGTGGATGCTGGGCATAATGAATACGATGTATTCTATGACAGGAATTGATGCTGGTATGTCTGTATCAGTGAGCTTCACTACTCCCTGTCGCGTACTGACCGACCGATGATGCCCAGCTATCCACATTAGCGAAGAGCTCCCTCAACCAGAGAAGCGTGTCCCTCAGGCCATGACCATGAGTGTTATTCTGAGTCTCGCTACCTGTCTTCCATTGTCGGTTGCACTGATGTTTTGCATGTCCGATATGGAAGCGGTTATCAATTCGGAACTGCCAAGCTTGGAAGTGATGTATCAGGCGTATGTATTATCGAGTCGACCTCTATGTCAAACTAGTCCTAACTGCTATATTCAGCACAAAGAGTAAAGGCGTTACTACCTTCCTCTCAGTGTGGCTCTTGGTTGTCTATGCTGGTAAGTCCAAAAGACACGTTTGCACGCGCCATTCGAGCTAACCGCCAAGCTATAGCCTCAATCCCGTCTCAATGGGTGACGTGCGGCAGAGTAGCATGGGCTTTAGCTCGCGATGTAAGCGTCTGTATGACACGCCGATGAATCCAACCTGACAAGACTAGATTAACTCCCCGTCAGCAAGATACTTTGCTAAAGTCGACGACAAGCTAAAGTTTCCTGTTCGCACCACAGTTGCTAGCTTCGGCTTTGTTGCTATCTATAGTCTGTTATACTTGGTTTCCTCGGGCGCTTTCAACACGATCACCAATAGTGCGATACTCTTCCTCCACATAACTTACGTGGTGCCTCAGGGCATACTTTTGATGAAAGGCAGAGTGGGCGCACTACCACTTCGATACTTGAAGCTTGGCTGCCTCGGCTATCTCTGCAATGCCTTTGTCATTTTGTGGATTGTTATACTTGGAGTGTTTGTCTGCCTGCCTCTTGGGTTACCGGTAGAAGCCGAGTCGATGAATTATACGGCTCCCGTGCTAATTGGTCTATTTGGCCTTGTGATCCTCTTGTGGTATGGACTAGGAAGGGTAGCATTCCAGGGACCCCAGATTGACAGGGACATGATGCAGGAGGTAAATTTTGGTCTCAAGTGAATGGACTTGGCCGAGCTGTTGGCTCGCAACGGAGGCGGCAGTCGGTCAGTCATTGCTTCCAGACTTGAAGATTTGTGAAACCTCAACGAGGCAAGATTGCAGTGAGAACCTTGCTCAATTTGGCTGCGCCACTTGACACGTGGATGAAAAGTACAGACTCCACGAATGAAATTCGATTCTCCATAGACCGTGAGCGGAATACCGGATATTGCTTCGAGTCTGTACAACAGTGCTAAGAGAGACTCCGACTGACAAAGTGTCTCCTGAGTACAGACCCTGTCATTTTAAGACATCGAGCGGGTGCAATGTAACTCTGGCATTCACTTTAGGGAGGTGGCATTGATGTTGCCTGCGTCAAAGTGGCATCAACCGCTCGGCTGCTATAAAGATCAGTCGGGAAGCTTCAGCCCCCTTCCCCTCCCCTTCCCCTCCTATTTATTCTTCTGTGCGACTTCATTTCGTCCAGCATCCCAATCCCTCCTTCTTCCCCTGCAGGAATTAAACGCTTCACTAAAAACTTTGCTAAGTCTCACAATTTTCTTATCAAGAAGTAAGCCGCATCCTCCTGACAACTCTCCACATCCCACCGTGGACTGACATCTCTCTAGCCAAGGATCATTTCCAGCCATGGATGCCCACCTTGATCTCACCCTCCCTTCGACCTGCCCGGAACTTCAGCAAGGCAGCGATTCCAACTGGGATGATGCCTCCTTTGCTCTTTATTCCATGATTGAATTGTCTTCCGAAGAGCTGGATAAGCTGATCACCGCCCTGAACCGGGACTGGAAGCGGGAGATGACCGACGAAGCGATGCCTCTTGTTCGCACCCCTACCGTGTACGACTCCAGTGGGAAAAGCCTCCGAGACGTCGTCCAGGCTCACGTTGATCTGGACAAGGAATTCACTCCTCGTGATGATGGCGGTGCTGAAGGCGACATTCATTGGTACCCCACAGCTTTTGTTGTTGTCACCACTCGCGAGTGGGAAGAGAAAGGACTCTTGTTGGTGTATGTGGATGTCGAGGAGAAAGAATGCCCCATGGACAAATTCTTCTTTCACATCGACAACGCTAATATTATGTTGTCAAGCTTGAATTTCGGTGATGAGAGCCCCTCTTCCAGCAGATTCAACTGGGAAATGGGGCATGGAGTGAACGCTGCATGAATGAATAGCTTAGATGTTGTGCTACAAAGTCACTCTCTCTTTTTTTCTTCTCCATGTTCATTTCGTACAATATTGAAGCGTGTGACGTGATATTATTTACTATTGGCTGAATTACTATTCTCCATATCATTATCAGCCTCACACGATCACTACATGAATCCACCTTTTCAGGCCCTTGTGAGACTGAGAGGCTATGCTCACTGTAAGAGCCCTATTTCGGACCATTTCCTCTCGTTTCATCCCTCTTCACTTCCCACGGCTATCCTGTCCTCATCTACACACTTGAGCCTGGGACGGTGGCTACACAACCCCTTGTCTCAATCTCGGCGCAGTTGAATGATCAGCAGATCAATTCAAATTAACATTGTGCCACAGGCCTCTAAGCCAAACATAATGTCTCAGTCAAAATGGCCACGGCACAACCAAAGCCCTCAGTCCTTGAAGCTTATCATCCACACAGTACAACTACCAATATCCTCCGAACATCGGCAGTATAAAGCCTCCAATATGAAGCCTACCCACCCCCACATCTTTATACATAAGCCATTGAGCATCATCCCAGGGCACCATGAAGCAACTCTTCCTCTTCCTTGGCTTTCTAGCTCTCTTTACCCTCTCTTCGGCAGTAAGTGTAGCCTTCAACTGCGACAACGCCCATGTCGGCGGTAAAAAATCCTTTCCTTTCTATTCACTGCCTTCCAATACACCATATACTAACTACATTCAACTAGACGTATGCCAAAACATGTGCTTCGGTACCCCCCTTCCCCCAAACATACATCTCACCAACATCGATCTCCCCTAACCACACCAGGCACCAAATGCAAACGCCTCGGCACAACCCTAACCTGGGACAAACCCAGCCGACAAGTCTCTGATCGCCGCAGTCGCGAAGCCGGCTGTGGTAGTTCCAACCGGTGCAGCAAATCCCCCTACGGCAGAGGCTACCAATGCGACGAGTACCCGTTTAGATCCGTGCGGGAGTCCGACAGAGGCGGGCAAGTTAATCGCTGCGTTCTAGCACGATACAATAACGGCACGTTCAAACCCACCCTACCTTACCAAGCCAAGGTTTTCCTAACTATCTAGTTATCCTGAGCTAACGGGTTGATGTATCGGCGCGCAGCCCAAGGCCAAGTTCTCCGCAACTTCTACAACTCGCGCGGACAGTTCCAAGGCAAGGGATGTAATGGGACTGCACCGTGTCGGTTTAGTGTCTCGTTTACGAATGCCAGTCGGTTGCAGTACTGTAAGAGTAGGCCGAATTGCACGAATGATGGGAATGAGTATACGAAGAGGGGGCCTGCGAGGAGGGATGTTGAGGCCGAGGGAGGAACTGAGTTCTATAGGTTGGAGAGTGGGATGGTGTTGTTTGCGCCGGGTGGTTTGGAGATTGGGGAGGTGGTTTATCGGACTGGGGTTGGGAATTGGACGGTGTTTGAGGATGGGGGTGGTGAGGGTGGGAATGGGGACGGGGATCAGGACGCGTTGGGGGATGATGATAGTATTCAGGCAGAGGAGGATAGGGTTGTTGGGGTGGTTGATGGGTGGGAGGGATGAGAGTGCGGTTCAACTTACTGTGGGTTGATTGACCAGTGGAAGTAGTATATCGATGTCTTGAGTGGAGGTTATATATTTGTGGAAGGCAAACTGGATAAACTTCGATGGTAGCCTGGTCGATAGGAAAGAATGCATACCATATCAGAAGCACTATCTTTTTCAGGATATGGATTATCAGGTGAAATGATCAAATCAACTGCATTGAAGTATGATTGAATATTATAGCTAATATTGTCATTATCTCAAGAAAAAAAAAAAAAAAAAGGTGTAATTGTCATGACCAAAAATCGTGAGTAATGGTAGCTTTGGAATATATTGTAAAATAGTGAGCCCGTTCTTCAACAAATGGGGCTGTGGTTTAGTGGTATAATATTCCCTTAGCATGGGAGAGGTCCGGGGTTCGATTCCCCGCAGCTCCATGTTTTTGTGTTTTTATCTTCCGCCCAGAATATATGAGACTACTGAAGATGAATAGTGAAGTTTATCTAAGTTTATCTTGTTTGTCTGTTTAGACATCTATGATACCAGCCATGAGCCACGATACTGGAATGATGCGATAGTATGACATCGTCACCTATACTTGGTAGCCTATTTCTCTCTCCCTATCGTTCTGATGAACTTATATATTCGCCAATAGTAATAGCATGTAGCTGCCTGCCATAGCACCTAATTAGGGCAGAAATAAGTTTCTTGGGCAATCATGGGTGCGGAAGTCTCTTACTCAGTCGGACAAATGAAGAAAAGCAAAAAGGGAAGTGACGACTATGATATGTAATTCTTATGGAATGATCTACCTCCATGAGAAAGTACCGCCACATATGATAACTTAGGATGCAGAAAGAGAGTCTCTCAGGCAAGGGTGATGGAGACTAACCAACAAGGCCGTGTTCCTCAATAGCACACCTCTGACCTCCCGCCTCATGCTACTTTGCATCAGCGATATACAGCACAAGTCATCTACTGGATCTATCCCATGCAGTGCTTCTTGCCGCTGCTGCCTTGAACCATGCTTATCTACTGTTCCAAGCCACTCACCCTCTGTTGATTGATTGGGCCGGATGTCTTCAATACAAGTGCTGAGGGGTGCTGCACCGCAGCCATACTACTTCCCCTCCGTTTTCACTCTTGTAATTTCTCCGACATCGTTGATTTTGTCCCCACATCGACACGCATTCTCAGAGTAATACTTTCTTCGACTTACATGTACTATACCCTTAATTATCGAGATTTCCACCTTCTGACTCGCTTGTGTGACCATCACAGTTTACCGCAGCTGAATCCTTTTGTGACCAACATTTTACTTGCTTCATACTGAACTCTTGGCTAGATGTCTGCCAACATCGTGAATGCGACAGGGATAGAATGCCTCATACAGCAGCGCTATCCCGGCACCTCTCGCGATGAAGCCTATGTCAGACTCTTCGATGACCTGAAGCCTCTTATGAATCCTGCTGCGGTAGGATGGCACAACTTCATACAAGCCCTTGCAATTCTCCTCAACAAGCCAGTTTATAGTCTCGCTGAATCTGCAGGTCGTACAGCCCAGCGCATCCTTGGAGCCGTTTCTCAGAACACTTCGGAGACGTCCCAGCCCGTCAGAAATAAACCAAATGACATCTCGGATCAGACGATGATACAGATACTCCGCAATCTCGCAGCGGCTGCCGGGGATCTTCCAGAAGTGGTATCAAGTACCGGTTCCGATGGCAGTGAAGAGTACAAGATTCAACACAGCTCCGATGGGTACGTAGCTGGAATCCACCAGGATAATCAAAGCCAACAGGTCATTAACAAAACAATAAACAGCTTCTCTAGAGGCGGACCCCGAGTGTTCAGAGTCTTCAATAACTCCTTCAATGCTGGGCGTGAATTTACCGCCGTCTTTGCTACCTGTGCTCTGTCGACTACGGCCCTTACTATACAGACAAAAGCGAAGGAGTTACGGGCCATCGGATTAAACCCCAAGGACATTCCTGATGAGACAAGCTATCAGGCGACACCAATGGTCCAGGGCTGGAAGTTCCACGGCTTCGGATATTTCATCTACAAGTTCGTCGACAATGAAACTAAGACTGTTGGCGGAGGAAAGGCCGATGGACGTCATGCCTTTTATGTCTTCAATCCGACAACCAGTGCCAACGAAGAGTTCAGGACACAGGTCCAAAAGAGGCCCTTACAAGCCTCATTTGGCGGGATGTGCTCCGATCTCGAGGCTGTTTTCCTTCTTATGTGGCAAAACCGTCGGTCGCTTCGAAAGAGAGACCCGGAAAATGCAGATAACGTGATATTCCACTTGCTGGTTCCGGCAAAGAGGACTTTCGCTATTGCAGAGAGAATGACCATCGATGATGGAGTGGGGAAGCTGATAATTAAAGGGCATACGGACGAAGGTGCCTGCTATGCGTGGTTCAATTTTGTATCATTGCCACAGCAAGTGGTACTACATGATGTCGGAAACCTTAACAGAGACTCTGCCGATCTCGACAGATCATGGAAACGTGAGAAGAGTGGTGCACTTGCATTTTTCGGCTGCGGGCTCATATTACAAGTATCACCGGTTTTTTTGACCCTCCGGCAGCGCCATACTTTGCTTGGCTGTGTTTTGCATCGTTGGCAGTGACATTGAAGTATGGCGTACTGGATGAACTGCGATGGAGTTACCGATCTCCTCCTCGTACTCTCGGTCCTCCGTGAGAGGTTCGTCGAGAAAGAAACAAAGATTGATATGTAGTGACTTAGCGAGAAACTGAGATGTGGTAGTTGCTTGGCTCCCTTTCGAAGAAATTGACCGTTCTGAGAAAATTGTTCTGGTAGTCATCGTAGAGGTAGCCGAGGGGACTTCACATAATGCTAAAAGTATACTCGAGTGGACCCACGATTATTAACAGCACCACCAAGGTCCTCTTAGATGGATGAGTATATCTACAGGTAAGATCCCCAACCTGCTTGCTTCAAAGACACCTTCCTCCCCTTCAGCATCAGCATCCGATCCATCCGACCTGGTCCCACCGGATCACCACAGGGCTCGAGGAAAATCAAGCTTCAGCAGCCGTTAGTCCGGCAGATGAGTGGGTCAATCAGCCACCCACTCCATTGTCATACACTCAGTGCCTAAGAAAAGCAGGGACGAGTTACATACACCCCACATTGACAATATTGATAAGACGGAAATAACTCGGGGATCGGCATGTCTTAGTACCAAGTCATGAAGTTACAAAATAAGTTGTCTGCGCGGCTTGCGCGCTGGTGGAGCAGCCGGGATACGTCATTCTCGACACAAATGAATACATAACTCCTGGTCAGTACTATCTGGGCTACATAAATACTACCGACGTGGTAGTGTTAACATACTATAGTACTAGAAACTTAATCCAGGTGGTTAGTTCGCCGATTATATCTCGATCATCTGCTCCTAAACAATGACAGTTCCTGTTGAAGATAGCTTTGACTTTGTCGTCGTCGGCGGTATGTTCTCTCTAAATCCACTATTTGATTTTGTCTGACAGGAAGTAGGCGGCACAGCTGGAAATGTCGTGGCCGGTCGGCTGGCCGAGAACCCGGACGTGAGAGTCCTGGTCATTGAAGCAGGCGTTAGGTATGTATGCCCTCTCGACAACCAACCACCAATTACTGTGCCAATCTGACCACAATCAGCAATCCGAGCGAGATCTCGGAAATAACCACACCAGCATCTGCCTTTGGGCTACGTGACAGCCAATATGACTGGGCGTACAAGTCCACCATGATCAACCGACCCTACTATGAACGGGTAGAGAAGCCCAACACCCGGGGCAAGGTGCTCGGTGGTAGTAGCTCTTTGAACTACTATACCTGGATCCGGGGTAGTAAGGGGACGTTCGATGCGTGGGCCGAATATGGAGGTCCTTCTTGGAGTTGGGATGGGTGTGAGGAGTATTTCAATAAGGTAAGCTATGAATGAAACAAGGAATGGAATGATTATGCCAATTATGTGCTGGACTAGCCCGCTACCTACCACGACGACGACAATCTATACCCCTCAGAGTTATCAAAGATCGGCCGCAACGGTCCTCTGCATGTATCTCACGCAGACCTCGTCCCCGAACTACACACCTTTCGCGATGCCCTGACAGAAGCATGGACCAGCAAAGGCCAGAAGACATGCGAGGACATCTACTCCGGTAAAATGGAGGGTCTGACGCACTGTGTCAACAGTATCTACGGTGGGATGCGGTCGACCAGTGCATCATATCTGGCCGATAAGCCGAACGTGACCATCTTGAGCTCTGCGATCGGGAAGAAGATCAACTTCGATGACAACCTTAAGGCGACGAGCGTCACTGTCAGTGGCGCCGATCGGACCGAAATGACCTTCACAGCCAAGTATGAGATTATTGTCGCGTGCGGCGTCTTCGAGACGCCGAAGCTGCTGATGCTCTCTGGAATTGGTCCCAAAGAAGAGCTGGCTCGTCATGGTATTGAATCGGTTGTGCAGTCGGAACATGTCGGTCAGAACCTGCATGATCACCCTATTCTTGCTCATGTGTTCCGGCTAAAGGATGGGACTGGTCTCGATAACCACCTTCTCCGCGCTGGTCCTGCACAGAGCGCTGCTTTGCAGAAGTACCGCACTAGCAAGAAAGGGCCCTTTAGTAGTGGATTGTTGGAAATGGTAGGTCTGCCACGCATTGATGACCGTTTGGAGCGATACAAGGAGTATCGCGAGGCGAAGGCGCGGAATGGTGGTAAGGATCCATTTGGACCGGAGGGACAGCCGCATTTTGAGATTGATTTCGTGGTAAGTCGCCCTCCCCCTCCTTCCAGGTCAACTAACAGGAAGATATTGATGGACTGTAGCCAATGTTCTCCGACGCCTTCCAATGGCACTTCCCCGTTCCCCCCGAAGGCGACTGGCTGACCGTCATCGTCGATCTTCTCCGCCCGCTGTCCAGAAACGGAGAAGTGAAGCTCAATTCAGCCGATCCACACCAACAGCCATACATCAATCTGAACTTCTTTTCTAATGAACTTGACATCCTAGCCTTGCGAGAGGGCGTCCGTTTCGTGGACGATATCCTCATGACCGGAGATGGGATGAAAGAGATTATCGGCCAAGACTATCCGTGGCCCATGCCCCGACACTCAGATGAAGCGATGAACAAAATGATCTTGGAACGGTCGCAGACGGGATACCGTAAGCTACTCTGCCACTCAGCATGTACCCGCACAGCAACTAATTAATGTTCACGTCATAGACCCCTGCGGCACGGCCCGATTGTCCAAGGACATTGCGCACGGCGTGGTGGACCCAGAGCTGCGCGTCCACGGCGTGCAGAATCTTCGCGTCGTGGATGCATCCATTATTCCTCTGATTCCTGACTGTCGGATTCAGAATGCCGTGTATATGATCGGGGAGAAGGTGAGTCACCACCCCCAATCCAGAATCTCATTTCGTTGAAGGATACATGCTGAAACAACGCTAGGGCGCGGACATGATTAAGGCAGCTTATCCGGCGCTTTATCGAAGCTGATGGAAACCGATAGCAGCATTGCTGAACTTAACTTGAACCATTGGCCACGATGAAAAGATATAGAATATCATATGAATTATATATCTGACACGAAATACAGAGTGACTCACGTAGAAATATTACTATCGATTCAATTCATTCCCCATAAAAAGCGGAAATAGAATCGCCAGACACTCAAGTCAGCATTAATCAGCGAGACTTGTCAGTAAGCTTATTTGTCAGCTACTTTCTTCCCTTCCATCATTCTCCATATATACCACCTACCATATAACCCCGGACAAGAATCCCAGTACTATTATTCTACTTTTATTCCTATCCAATCCAATCCAATCCAATCCAACCCTAAAAATAACCCCTCACTAATTGCAACCAAAAATCATAATCATAACCATGGATCTCACCTCCACCTCCACCTCATCCCCCACCACCACCGCCCCCGAACCCATCACCGGCAGCTGCCTCTGCGGCGGCATCCAATACGAAGTAACCGGCGAACCCATGAAACGAGTAATGTGCCACTGCGAAAACTGCCGGAAGTTCACAGGCTCCAGCTTCATGGCCAACAGCTTTATGAAAGAATCTGTTAGTTCCCACTCCCTCCCCACAATCTCCCTCTTCTTCAACACATCTTTTTTTATCTTCTAAGCTAATGGTGTGTCAGCAACTAACCATCAAATCCGGCGAATCACTCATCCAAAGCTTCAAAGACACGAAAGTGGACTCGGGAAATACTTTGGAACGACGCTTCTGTCGCGTTTGTGGATCACCCGTGTATGTGACGAGTAGTCGGGCCGAGGGGTTCGTGGTTGTGCCGTCCGGTACGATGGATGGGGAGGCGGGCAGGAAGTGGAGGCCTGAGGTGGAGTTTTGGTGTAAGGAGAGGAGGGAGTATTTGCCGGTGGTGGAGGGGACGCAGGCGTTGGAGATGGATTAGTGGTTGTCTCTCTTGAGGGATGTGAGTAGCGGGGGGGATGGGGGTTGGAGGCCGTTGTGAGGGAGAGATGATATCCTTTGGTCTTTTTTATTGGGAGGGTGGAGTGTATATAGATGGTTTGTATACTCGAGATTGATGTTGGCATATCTTGGAAATACGGCTTCAGAAATATCAACAGAAGAGAGACAACCATGTCACTGTCAGGTAGAAGACGGGGAACGGATTAAGCTTGACTGCTGTGAGAATGATGACTAGTAAACGTGATCAGAGTGATGTTTTCTCTTTCATACTTGGGCATTAATGCATCACTCCACGAACTATGCTGAAGGGTAAAGGGAGCTGAGAAGAAATTTCATATATGCTATTAAATTAAGTATCGCTAACAGACGGACTCAATAGGCCCGACAGGATTAATTTCACATCATAGTACAGCCCCCTCCATGCAGACTAGCCCAGAATCCATAGTTCCAACTATTTACTGCTCCAGGGTAGAGCATCCGAGAGCCAGAAGACCGTTCTACACTGTCGTTAGCCTGACATCATCCCTCCGTAGGAGGAAACTTACCAAGAGGTTGATCTCAGTGCAGCACTGAGGTTCCGACGAGCAGCTGTCGTCGTAGTCCTTGCCTGTATTCTCGTTAGTAAACAGACACCCGATATTGAAAATTAGAGTAGCTGGTAACGTACAAAGAAGACCGATGGAGCCAACAATGTTGGAAGCATCAATACCCAGGTCCAAGAGGATAGGGTCGACAAGAGGGTCAAGAGGGGTGGTCAGGGAGCCACAGCACAGAATGGGAGGAACGCATTGTGCCTCCGTGACGGTGCTAATGGTGCCATCAGAGGTGCCCCGCTGAGCGGCCACCTCCTTCACCTGAGACTCAAGAGACGCAGTGCTGTCCTGAGCGGCGGGGACGGCCACGGCGGTGGTGGCGATGGCCAGGATGGAGAGAGCGGTGGTGAACTGCATTGTGATGATGGTGATGGACTTGCAAAGATGCAGGAGAATGAGTGTTGCTGGTATTGTAGAAGAATGTCTTTGTATTCTAGTGTTCAGCTTTTGTCTGATGTTGGAGAAATTGTAGAGGAAGTCAAGCGTCCTTTATAGGTTTGAGCAGAGGTCAATTACTAAGGATCAAATTCAAATAATAGCAGTGAGCTGAATGTCAAAGTTGTATAGTTCCATGGAAATTCCCAATCAGATGCCTGATGGTTATCTCGAGTCATTCGTTCAGTCACACTCGGTCGAGAGGACCGATGGACATTGCCTCAAAAGCCAGTCGCATGTTGATAGATCGATGCTGGGCAACCTAAGAATTGTGGCCGGTTTCCGGAAGCTGCAGTATGGAAGTCTAAGCCGAAGGATCTCCGGAGAAAGGATGCCCAGTCATAGTCTGTGGCACCTTGTTCCCCTGCAGGTACCGCTGCAAGCGAGGGACCCTGTGGAGAAGTCGATCGATCATTCCCCATTCTGGGGAAGACCGTACCTGCATGGGAGAGTTAGAATCCAATAGTCCGGAATCTGGGACCAGCTGAAAAGCGCCTGCCTGTCAAGGAAAGCCGTCTTATCAGTTGAACCGAAGTAGCCCTCAATCTGGTGGCGAATCAGACACAACCCTGGCCATCCAAGGACAAGAGGCATGCGCGATAGCCGGTCAGAAATCAAGAATAAGCTATAGAAGAACTAGTTGCTTCTCGGAGGTTTAGAAGAGCGTTTCACTGCATTCAGGCCGCATATCCTCAGGTACTAGTGAAGTTCGTAGCTAATATCGCAAGGGAAGGCAGGCTTAGACAGTCTTGATGATTCCCTTTCAGCAACCGAGGATCTTCATGGACAGGAACAGGGCAGGAACAGGGGCCATATCGAGCCTCAATCCCTGATCGAACACCCCGATCTCAGCTGAATCTCAGAAGCATCACTCTCAGCCTTGCAATTGGGGGGCACTGATAGACGATCCTTTACGTAAATCCACATTGGGTATAGAGCCAAGCGCTCAGATAGCAGATCCTATTGACATGTTCGCCGGATGCAATAGAGTTCGCATGGGATCGGAGATTTAACCGGACTGAGGGATGGGAGAAGCCAATAGTTAGTTGAGCAATTAGTAAATTCATTGTCGATCTATCAAGTATGTTGTCATGCATTTAGTTACATGAGCGATAAGCGGGCATAACTTGAATTTGGATGATGATAAGACAAAAAGCAATTCTACTGGAGAACCGTAGATAGCTTGCATAACATATAATGCAATACTACCTTACTCAGCACGCATGTGATTACTGCATAGTTGTTATGCAATCACCTGACTGTTATCGTATCTGTGGCGGTGCATGCGGCTCATGCCAAGCCTTGTTGCGCCACAGACTCGCGACACAAAAAGTGCAAAGTCGAAAGTGAAGCCCAAGTCGGTCAATATCCGCCGTCTGCGATCCTCCCCTCCCATCTTCCCCAGACTCTCCCCGCTGGGTTTTTTTTCTCTTTCCTCTATAATTTCTATTATCTGAGGGCCATCCATAAGTCAGACATCATGGCTCCCATCTCCATCGCAGACATCGTCGCCGCTCTGCCGGCCGAAGACACCTGGGGCCCCGCTACCGCCAGCGACAACATGCTGCAGGGCGTCCCCTACGCTCCCTTCTCCAAGGGTGACAAGCTGGGCCGTATGGCTGACTGGACTGCCGAGTCCAAGGACCCTAACCGTGCCGGTCGCCAGGCCTACAACCGTAACTACAGAGGTATACCATATCCTAATATATCCAGCCAAGCCAAGACAAAGTAACTAACTCTGTTTCCTCCAGACCAGCAAGTCTATGGTGCCGGTTCCTCCAGCCTCTTCGCCGTCCAGGTCGCCGAAGACGAATCCTCCTTCTCCGTTGTCGACAACACCCGCAGCTCCGCTAAGCGTACCTTCGGTCGTGGCGGTGGTACCGTCTTCCGTGGCCGCGCCCAGCGCGGTGGTGCTCAGCGCGGTGGTCGCGCCGGCTTCCAGCGTGTGGGTGCTGGCCGTGGCCAGGGTGGTGACCGCTACTACGACAACCGCTCTGGCGGCCGTGGTAACCGTGGCCGTCGCTTCGGCTGGAAGGACTACGACAAGCCCCAGCGCACCCGTGAGCCCTCGGTCAACGTCCGCCCCGACTGGAACATGCTGGAGGAGGTTGACTTCAGCCGTCTGTCCAAGCTGAACCTCGAGGCCCCCGAGGGTGAGGACGTCGACTCGTACGGTTTCCTCTACCACTACGACCGGTCCTACGACAAGGCCCCCGTCAAGAACGCCGAGCGCCGTCTCCAGTCCCTCGACCGTGCCGCCTACAACGTCACCACCACCCAGGACCCCGTCATCCAGGAATTGGCCGAGAAGAACGAGGCCACCATCTTCGCCACCTCGGATATCCTGTCTATGCTCATGTGCGCCCCCCGCAGTGTCTACTCTTGGGACATTGTCATCGTCCACCAGGGCAACAAGATCTACTTCGACAAGCGCGAAGGCGCCTCCCTGGACCTGGTCACCGTCAACGAGAACGCCGCCGACGCTCCCCTTGAGCTGGCCGACTCCGCCAACAAGCAGGATGCCATCAACACCCCCAGCGCCCTGGCCATGGAGGCCACCTTCATCAACCACAACTTCGCCCTGCAGACCGTCGTCGAGTCCGAGGACAGCAAGGTCTCCCTGGCCCACCCCAACCCCTTCTACAACGCCGCCGAGGAGACCGAGCCCCTCGCCTCCAAGGCCTACAAGTACCGCCGCTTCGACCTGTCCCTGGAGCGCGATGACGAGCCCGTCAACATGATCGTCCGTACCGAGGTCGACGCCCTCATGAAGAACCCCGTTAACGGCGAGGACCAGCAGCTGCTTGTCAAGGCCCTCAACGAGTTCGACAGCAAGGCCCAGGGCTCCGGTGGCGCTCTCGACTGGCGCAGCAAGCTCTGGTCTCAGCGTGGTGCCGTTGTCGCTACTGAGATGAAGAACAACAGCGTCAAGCTCGCCCGCTGGACCACTCAGGCCATCCTCGCCAAGGCTGACGGCATGAAGCTGGGTTTCGTCTCCCGTGCTAACCCCCGCTCTGCCGCTGGTCACGTCGTTCTCGGTGTTGTCGGCTACAAGCCCCGTGATCTGGCTGCCCAGATGAACCTGAACCTCAGCAACGGTTGGGGTATCGTCCGTACTATTGTTGACCGTATCCGTGCCCTCGATGCCGATGAGGATGAGGACAAGGTCACCAAGTACGTCCTTATCAAGGACCCCAACCGTCCTGTGCTGCGTCTGTACAGCGTCCCTGCTACCACCTTTGAGGAGGAAGAGGAGGTCGCTGCTGAGGAGCAGGAGGGTGCTGAGGAGGAGGCTGATGAGTAAACGGAAGCCACGTTATGATCTTATCTTCTTCTATCTCATGTGCATATTGATTGTCCTTGCTTTCAAAAGTTAGTTACGAACGACGTCTCAACATAGAGTTTGTCCATTATGTTCTACAGATTATAATTCAACCGCACGACGCACGCAGCCCAGTAGATTTCTACATCACTACCTACCTTGCAGTCACGTAAAGCAGACATTAAGTAGTAGATTCACACAAGCACACTATAAGTAAACTACAAGTGGAATAATTACGCAACAATTCGAATATTCGCCCCTATCCACCCCAAATACAGCCGTATGTGGATGGACTCAATAATGTGTCATAAAATAAGGAGCATATTTACAGTCCCTTCAAAGCATTGAATACTTCTAGAATATTTCACAGCACACCATCTCCACAACAATATACTCGAATTCCGAACAACTCCCCCAATCTAACCCTAACATCCATCCTTATCCTCCACAACTACTTTACAACCTCATCCCCCTTCCCCTCCACCACCACCAATCATTCCCTCCCCACCAATTAAAATCACAAATTCCTCCCAAAGAACCCCTCAATCCTCTCCCACGGAATCAACTCCACACGATCATACAAATCAACATGTCCAGCCCCAGGCACCCACAACAACTCCTTCGGCTCGCTCGCCCCCCTATACGCATTCTCACTAAACTCCCTAGAATGGGCCTGATCCCCGGAAATAAACAGCACAGGTCTAGGCGCAATGACATCTAAATCCTGCAGGGGATAAAAGTTCATGAACTTCAAGTTACTCGTCACCGTCGGATGCGTCGTCAACTCCGGCGTGGAACCCAGCGGCGTAAACTCGCCACGCACCGTGCGGTAGAAGTCATAGAACTCGCGGTCCACAGCACTAGCATTAGCCGTGAGGGTGTTCGGCGTACCGCCAGTATATCCAATGGGATTGGTCGCACCGCCAGGATGCTCGTACTCAGGCCAGCGCTGTAGCGCAGCGGAGGCAATCACTTCCTGACGCTGGGTGAGGTTCTGCGAGTGGCGCAGCCCTTGCCGGTTGACGGTGCCCATGTCGTACATGCTGGCGGTGACGATGGCTTTGATGCGCGGGTCGATTTTGGCCGCGCTGAGAGCGAAGCCTCCGCTGGCGCAGATGCCGATCACGCCGATGCGGTTGCGGTTGATGGTTATGGGGTGGGGGATGGAAGGGATGGTGGTGATGGTGGTGGTGTTGCTGCCCAGGTAGTCGACTGCGGCGCTGAAGGCTTCGGTGTAGAGGTCGGGTGAGACGGCGTTGCGGGGGGTGCCGGTGCTGCTGCCCCAGAAGGGGAGGTCGATGGACAGGGTGATGTAGCCGCGTTCGGCCATTTTGGTGGCGTATAGGTTGGCGGATTGCTCTTTTACGGCGCCCATGGGGTGGCCCACGATGATGGCGGGGGATGGGATGGTGGTGGTGAGGTTGTTGGGGATGAAGAGGTTGCCGGCGATGAGGGTTTGGTATTGCGTTGGGAAGGTCACTGGTTGTAGGGTTACCAGGTTACTTCGGTAGAAGTTGTCGGCGCCGTAGGAGAGGTTTTGCGCTGTGGTGCATATTGTATGCAGGATTGGGGCGAGGAGGAGGGCTGGGAGTTTCATGGTGATGCAGAAGCTGAGAGTGGCTTTGAGGGTTTGGGTTGGTAGTTGGATGGTTGTGTTGATGACTTTGTGGTTCTTGAAGTAGGTGAGTACATGGCTTTTATAGCCATTGTCTCTGCAATATCGTGATATTCGTTAGGGCATTGTCATGTCTGGATGGAGTTGAGAAGTAGATCACTTCTGGGCCTCGTCATGCTAATGCGACTTGCTTACTGTGGGGCGTAAGCTACCCACTGCAACGGTTTGCTATGGTTGGTTATTGTCTGCATGTCTTTAGATTGTATTAATGTCTGATCCATGCTACATTGATCCATGGACATCACTGCTTCCCCACTTCGCAAGCACATAAAGGCACCCCCCGATTGTCCTTCTCTTCCGTCTTCCAAGACAGACAACGGACATCTATCCTCTTTCATCATGCCGCCCTACGTACACACTGGCCCAGTCGATTGCTCCCAGGACGCAGACTGCAGCTCCTTGGCGGGCAAAACCGCCATCGTCACAGGCGGTGCCAACGGCCTTGGTGAAGCCTATGTCCGCGCTCTCGTCGCAGCCGGGTAGGTCTCTCGACTCTTCCTTTCTTCACAGCTAATCCAGGCTCAATCACAGCGTCTACGTCTGTATCGGTGACATCGACACACAGAAAGGGCAGAAACTCGAAGCCGAGCTACCAGGGTAAGTCCTTCCTCCCAGTACTACCCATCTTACCCTAACCCACCCCAAGAACCAAATTTATCCCCTGCTCAACCGGCACCTGGACCGACCAAGTCCGTCTCTTCGAAGCAGCAGTCACTTTCTCCCCAACCAGCCGGATCCACTACGTGGTTGCAAACGCCGGCATCCACCGCGTAGATGAAATCTTCCAGCCAGGACCGGACTCTCTACCCGAACCAGACCTGAGCATCATCGACATCAACATCAAAGGTCCTCTCTACACAGCCAAACTAGCCATGCACCACTTCATCCGCCAGAACGGAACCACGCCTACCCCAGAGCAAGAAGATACCTGCCTGATCCTCATCGGCTCAGGCGCGGCGTTCCTCGACGTGCCACGCTCGCCGCAGTACTGTGCCAGTAAGTGGGCGATGCGGGGAATCATGCATTCCCTGCGTCGGACGGCATATTACTACGGGTCCCGAGTCAATGTGATTAGCCCGTGGTATGTGCACACCGGGATTTTGTCCGAGGAGGCATTTGCACACTGTAAGCGGGCAGGAGTGGAGTTTGCTACGGCGGAGGATGCAGGGCGCTGCCTGCTGAGGATCCTGGCAGATGGGAGAGTTAATGGGCATTCGTTCTTTGTGACGGCTCGGAAGTGGGCGGAGAAGGGGTTTATGGATTTGGACTTGGAGGATTTCGGGGATGATGCGCTGCTGAGGGAGGTGCAGGAGATGCAGATTTGCAGTGCCCCAGTGGAGGCAGGGCTGTTTGTGTAGCTCGGTAGATTGTCGGCAGTTATTGAATATACCATGTTTGGTATCCAACATTCACGTTAATCGCATGGACCATAATTGAGGCCGAGGCCGGAGATAGCATCAACCAGGGTTGGTATCCTTCCATGGTTAAGGGTCTCCCGGCTCCATAGCATCCCGGATGGTGATTGATGGATTGGTGAAGAGCGGGTCTGGCTTGGCGTAAGCAAGATGCATTAGTGCCGGATAGCAGCCAAGTTTATCTTCTTCCGCTGTGTGTCTGTGTCTGTCTCTCCCAACTTCTTCATCCACGGTGTGTCTTCTAGAATGACTTGGAATTTCAGGCAACATCGTTTCGTCAGGCTAGCACTGCCCATGCGATGTCCCAATTGATCTTGGCACGCTTGGCTAAATACACATCCACGCAACACATTCGGTCTTTCTCTCTCTCACCCATGCTGTCGACATCATCACGATCTGCATCCGGATGCTGGTTCGAGTCGGATGATTACAAATGTCCCTTATGTGGCAGTGCATCATGAGCTCTGATGGGTGCTGCTTATGGCGGTGGAGTTCTGGCTTACTGGACTGGCCTCAGTTCGGGTCGTGCGTCGGAGATAGCAGCTCAGCCTCTACCATCTATCCATTGCTTCAGAAAGGTATTCTGTTGCCTAGATATGATGTGTATAGCCCGTTACGATGTATATGTCTGTGTGTTTACTGGTAGGGCTTTTCATTATGGAGTATTTATACAGATCTTGAAAGAAGCAAAGCATCATGGGCGGCTCAATATATTCGATCTGCACCAAACTACAGAGCTGCCATGAGGAGTTTCTTTGATGTTCTCACTGTGGTGTGCACATTCAATTTAATTCGAAATGTTCTAGGTATGACATGTATCTAATCCTGCTGGTGAGAATTACCCTTACATTACTAGGCCATTCGGTTCGAAACCCAGCCACAGAATATGCAGCCCGACTCGAGCAGGTCGTAATTCACCCCCAGTCACGGACTACTTCGGTCAAGAGCCAACTGGACATTACTATAGGGATTCCTGGACATGGTGGCCCGGTGCGGTTGCAATTGGAACCGAACCGGGACATTCTTGCCCAGGATACTTATATCGAGTATCTGGACGGCACAGAACCCCAATCACTCAATGGAGAAAGGGAAAAAGTGTTTCGGGGTGACGTCCTGGTGAATTCGTCCAGCAATGCGTGGCATCTGGCAGGACGAGCACGCATATATCTCATCCAGGATGGGACAAGCCCGCTGTTCGAGGGAGCCTTCACACTGTTCGATCAACAATATCACATCAACCTAGTCACGCAGACCAATCCCTCCTATCCGCACATGGAAATCAGCACATCCGGAGATGCTATAAGCACACTGTCTCAGAACACAATCTTCCCCCGGCAATCCACCCAAGACAACACATGCTCCCGACCCCGGCGAGTCGCTCTGATAGGTCTCGCCACAGATTGTTCCTACCGCGCCGCATTCTCATCCACAGATGAGCTCCGCCGAGGACTAATCAGCATGGTGAACACCGCATCAGAGGTCTACGAGAGGACATGGAACATCTCACTCGCCATCCGCAACATCACCATCAGCGACGAGTCATGTCCTGACACACCCCAGCGAGACACCCCATGGAATGTCGCCTGCTCCAGTGGGAATCTGGACTGGCGACTCCAGCAATTTGCCTCATGGCGACGCTGGCATTACGACCCCAATGCCTACTGGACTCTGATGACGAATTGTCCCACTGGGAATGTGGTGGGTGTGTCCATCGTGGGAGGGCTCTGTACGACTTACTCCGGGGCAAATGTAGTGGCGCGGACTTCCAATCAGTGGCAGGTTTTTGCGTACGTCCCTTAACCAATCATACCTTATGAGCCATACTAATTTCTCTTGCATGTCTAGCCACGAATCTGGCCACATGTTCGGCGCGACCCATGACTGCGAGTCTGAAACCTGCTCCACTTCGAATGGGGATTGTTGCCCCTTGTCTTCGAGCTCTTGCGACGCCGGCGGACAGTATATCATGAACCCATCTTCCACGTCCTACCAGACGTCCTTTTCGCCCTGCACTGTTGGACAAGTGTGCTCCTTGCTTCGCTCTGGCAGAGTAGAGGATGACTGCCTTGTACATAGTAATGATACAGGACCTACGATCAGTGGTCCAAGTACCCCTGCTGGTGAGTGCGGTAATGGCATTGTCGAGGACGGCGAGGAGTGCGATTGCGGTGAGAACTGCGCGGACAATTCCAATCCCTGCTGCGTTAACTGCCGGTTGGTAAATGGTTCGCAATGCGATAGTGGCAGTGGGCGTTGCCCATCTGGACGCTGCGAAGGTAGTGAGGATCGCCGTCCGTTAGGGGGATATAAACCGCTGGTTATTGGACTGGCTGCTGGTATAGGAGGGGGGTTGCTTCTTGGGATAGTCATTGCTATTGTGTGGCGCTGTTGTGGGAGGAGAAGAGTGGATAAACAGGACGAACCTCCTCTCGCTAGAGAAGTAAATAATCATATATACCGATAGTTACACAGCTATGTACATAGAACAACAAAATAAGTAGACTATTAGTGAGTCTAAGAAATAATCGCCACAGCTATCAATCCCGACCCATGAAAATGAAAGCTGAAAGCCCCACCGTCCCAGGCTTATCTATCAGAACAACATTTCCAGAACTTCAGCCTAGAAATTAACGTTCAGACCACCGAAGAATCACCGTTCCCCGAGTGGGTCAACTACTGGTAGACTAGCCCTGCATAAATAAGCCTGCAGCTCCGCCGTGTCAGCAACTTGCATCCACCAATAACCAATAACCCACATCATGTCTCGACACGAACCACCACCCCAAATGGATCCGATAGCTCCTACATCATCAACATCAAACACTGTGACACTTCGGCCGATGCCTCAGCTAGAACATCTCTGGACGCCTGAAGATGATTGGACGGGGGTCAGCGATCGAATCCACCGTCGTCGGCTGCAGAATAGGTTGAATCAACGGGCTTATCGTATGTCTTTCTCCAACATAAGTCGTGGTTATTAATCTGACTATATCAACCAGGCAAGAAACATAAAGCCACTATGGGAGGTTCCTCCTCCTCTACATCCACCACTCAAACCCAAACCCTAATTTCCCATCCCTCCACCACAATCCACCACCACCACCACCCCACATCATCCCATTCAACTCCAGAAGAAGAAGAAGAAGATAATCACCACTGCCCCCTCGCCCCCAGCAACATCAACATCCCCCACATCCACAAAACCCTCACCACCCTCGCCATCCAAAGCTACCTCACCAACCGCCCCCGTCTCGAACACCTGCTGAGTCTCTCCCGGCTCAACGTCCACCGAGCCATCAACGACAACATCCGCTTACTGGGCATGGCACCCGCGCACCTCCGACCCGACGACGCCCTCTCAATCTTCAACATCCCATCCCCATTTCCAAACATCGATCTCTCCACCCTCCCGGAGAGTCTCCGCCCCACGCCCCTCCAACGCCTTATCCCGCACCACCCCTGGCTGGACTTCTTCCCGTTCCCCGAGATGCGGGACCGGTTGATTGTCGCGGCTGCGACGGGCTCCTTGGATGAGGACGAGCTGTGTCGGGATCTCATGGCGTTTTGGGATACCCGGAACTCTGGGGCGACGTTGGTGGTGTGGGGCGTGCCGTGGGATCCACGGAATTGGGAGGTCACCGAGGCGTTCTTGGGGAAGTGGAGGTGGGTGGTGCTGGGGTTGGGGGGGTTGAGGAGGAGTACGGATTATTGGAGGGGGAGGAGGGGGGAGGGGAGGTTGGTTTTTTGATAGCATGCTGCTTTGATGTAGGATCTTGTCTTGTTGGTTCATAGATTGGGGTATGTGGAATGAAGTATACTTTTAGAATGGGACTTGAAGGAGATAGATAATATGACACATTATTGGACTCTCCACATACCATGTCACCAGTCATCACATTCCATTCATTCCTACAAATAAAAATTAAAGTTATAGTTTGACATCTTCAAATTCCAACAACAACTGTCATCAGTATACACCAACCTCACTCACCATACCACTCTATATGCAAACATCAGCATCAATACCAAATCCACTGTCAGTCTAGGTCTAATTTAATAAGTACTATCTACTATTCATTATGAAGTAGACGACCTCATTCATCCATCGTTACTATACTTAAAACTATACCCAAAGCCATAGCACGCCACCAAACCAAACAAGGTTAGATTACTCATTCCCGTCCACCAACCAACCCACTAAATTCTAATCAACTTAACTACCTACTCTATCTAACCCACCACTCTAATCCACCTCCAACAATCACTCACTTCCGAAGGAAAGAAAAAGGGATAATAATAATAATGCCCGCCCCCCTCCCCCACCGCCCCAAATCCCGCCCAACGGCATCCTGCCTCCCCTGCCGAACCCGAAAAGTCAAGGTAAATCCCCTCCCAATCCCAATCCCCTGCCCCCTCCACCCACCCCCAAAACCTCAATCACATCCAATCTAAGAATATACTCACAGTGCAACCGCCTCCAACCATGCGAAACATGCAGTGCGCGAAACATCGCGCACGAATGTAAATACGCCGTGGCGGATGAAGACAGGCAGGCGATTGCGCAAGCGGAGATGATAGCTGAGTTGAGGGCGGAGGTGAATCGATTGCAGAGACAATATCATGAGTATCAGGAGTCTTCATCTGTCGATGAGTTTTATGTCAATATTCTAGAAGAAGGAAGCGGGGCATTAGAGGAATTGGAGAATGGGGAGGAGAGTTTGGGAGAAGAGGATGGTGATGATGATGAGTTGGAGAGGGTGTATCGGATTTTGAAGGATGGGGAGTGGGAGAGGGTGAGGGAGGTGGTGGGGAGGATTAGGGGGGATACTATTACTACTACTACTACTATTTCTGTGTGATTATTATGTTATGTTTCTTGTTTGATTGGAGATATATGGTGGGTGGGTGTGTATGCAATTCGTGGTTCTCGTGATTATTGATTAATGGGTAGTATAGCTTAAATCAACTGGGCAAGATCCAACACTGATAGAAAGGAAAGAAGAAGACACTCAAAATTAACAAGTTGTATGGCCAGTGCGCTCTGGCGGTTAAACCCCACAGGAAGAAGAAGATCAGAAGAAGAGAATCAGAAAAGAACAGCCTTGCTCCCAGAGCTTTTATATACACCTCGCCAAAGCAAACCCTGTTAGAACAATTACCCAAACCCAAATAATCACCTCATTAACTCCATCCAGATCGCCCACTTCTGCCCTTAGCTCACGAATACATCATCTCATCGCCGGGATGGGAAAGGGCGCCCTCGACCTTGGCTCCGAGAACACTGCTCAGGCAGTCCATCAGTTCAAAGTCTTCCACCACCGCGCCAAAGCCGTAGCAGCGCACTTTGGTGTTCAACGTCTCAATGATCACTTTGACGTCGTCCTTGGTCAGGCTGCGGTAGAGCTCGTGATTCTTCAAACACTGCAGCGCCATGATAGGCGTGATCTGTCCGTCCGTCACGAGCTGCCGACTGAGGTTGAGAAGGGTCGACAGGTTGGCGTGAGGGAGATCGTAGGTCTTATGCGGATAAGTTTGTTCATTCGAGGTGTTGGCGATGTAACTGGGCGGCGGGCAGGTCGCCATCAAGGCGTGACCCGAGAATGGCATGTCCTCGTCATCGGCTTCCGTGATCGATCGGCGGCAGAGATAGTCGGTATGTTCGCGACACGGCGATTCCAATCTAGACAGCAGTCAGTCATACAATCTTCCGTTAGACGAAATGTGGCGGGTCGTACGTCAAAATAAAGTCAATCTGTAGCTGGGGGTGCTCCTCAAAGATGCCCGATGGGTGCCTCGGTGCCCGGCTCACTGGCGCGATCTGGTCGAGCGTCGCTAGGGCGTCACACGGGGCGGCCTGATATGGTCCTTGCGGTGGTGACATCTCGCTCGACGACACATCAATCTGCTCGATCCCCGTGGTGATTGGACTCAAGCTTGCAGAGACGGTGGTCGGTGGTGTGGTGTACATGTTGTTCGTCGAGGGATTGGAAGGAGCAACGCCGGTGGGCTGCGATCCCGTGCTACTGCTGGCAAATGGGCTGGACTGATAGCCGATCGTGGGTCGTTCAGCCTTGCGCCGCTCGAGCTCGGGTTCGTAGTTGATGCCATGGGCCGTAAGGATGTCTTTCAGGATGGTGTTCTCGTCCGACAGCGACTGCACCATATCCCGGTGTTGAACCACAGTCAAGTTGGCCGCCGAAATCTCCTGTGTGTATGCCTCTCGCAACCGCGACACCTCCGTTTCCAACGCCCGTATATATTGTTCCTTGCGCTCGCGATGAGTTCTAAAAAGTCGTTGGCATCTGTTCCTAGATAAAATGCAGAGACGGGAAAGCCACGTACCTCTGAGCCTGGCGATTCAGTTCCTGTCGTCTGGTAAGGGCCGGTTTGCTGTCGGGTTTGGGACCACGTCGTTTGGCCGGTTGACCATCTAGAAAGGGAGTCGGTTACAATGAGTGCGGACAAGAGATAACACACGGGAGTACAAACCTCGAGTAACCTTCTTCTGTGTGCCACTGAAGAACTTGAAGAAGTCGGCCCCGATTGTTGAGGGTCGGGAATTGGGTTGGCCTGCATGCAGTGTCAGAGCGGGCAATTGACCGGATCCTCTCCGCGCAGCAAAGCGATGCAAGACACAACAAGCAACAGAACATCACGAAATGAGGAAAGACATGTAGGTACAGCACATCACGTCATACAACATGCAGGCAGTGCAGATGACAGAAGCAAGAAATGGTAGGTTACGAGCGAACGGTACCGACTGCAGCCTTTTCCCCCATCCGGGATGCTCTGTGTATCCAACACACATGTTCCCCAGAAAAAGCAGAAATGGAATGAAAAAACGGGCGCCAATCGTATCACCACAGGCATACAAGCAATGCGAGGTCTCCAGGGCAAAGGAAGCCGGGAACTTACTTGGCATAGCCTCTGGTGTCATGGTTTGGCGATTGCCCGCACTCAGGTCCACAGACATCGGACCACCATTTATGGAAGTCATGATGGTTGTGATGATGAAGAAAGAGGGTGATTGGGAGAAATGCGACCGGCGCGATCAGAAGATGGCCGACGGAGGACACCGACGAAGCGGAGGACGGAGGCGGGAAGAATGAGGGGAAGCGAAGAGAGCGCGAGAGAGAGAGAAAGAGAGAAAGGATTCGATGGGACTAGACGGTGGAGGAGGAACCGACAGCAGATTAAATGAAAGCGAGATTCATTCAATCAATCAACCAATCAATCTGGACCGTTGTCAGCCTTAAAATGGATTTTGATTTGGCAGTCAAGTGGATTCCTCTTGTATTTTTTTCCTGTCCAAGCGTCTTCCACCGTTGGGGAACAAGATATACGCACCGGCAGGGTCGGACGTTTTCCCCGAAAGTGCGCGGCCGATGGGGACCTGAGTTTGGGGGGGTGGAGGAGGGGAGCCACCACACGAGCTCTGGACCAGGGGAAAAGGAGAGATCTGAA